AAGTGCAAGAAATGAGACTAATTCGAGATAAAATCCCAAAATCTTACTAAAACAGGGTTTTAAGGTTCAAAAACCATAAATTTTGGTAACACACCAATTTGAAACGCTGTTACCAGAGAAACGTTGAGTCACGTGACAATCAATAGAAAATGTTTTCTGTTAAACATTAGGGAACGTCGCAAAATTTGACAAGTATAGCTTAGATGGTGTCAAAGTGATGAACATTTAAGATCAGCCTTTCAAGGCTAGAAACGGTTGAGAAGCCACACAAACTGAAGGTGAAAGGGTCAACAGACTAGTAAACACAGTGCAGAATTATTCTGTTGCCTCTTTTGTATGTCAGAGCGCTGAGATCTGTAATAAACGCCATTCTGTATCTGTCTTTGAATTCAAGCCCATAAGAATATACAGTTGTGTAACTGTATCCCCAATCGTTGCTCTTCTTGTCAGTGGTAAGAAAAGACACAGTGACAGAACAATATCTGAGATCTAGGCACCTGTGCTCCGGCCCATGCATTTGAATTTCAAGCATCCAGTTAGCAAACATATGGCAACGTGCATAGAGGAAAGAAACTTTCGATGATGTTAGTGCAATCAGCGATAATCTCTCTCTAAATTTCACAATAATAGGCCTAAGCATTCTTGCGGTTCCAAGGCAACCAAGGCAAGTTACTTTAAAAACAGGACTATTGGCTCTGTTGTAATTGTTTGCAATAGCCGCACTAGTCCTACTACGCATGCTTCAAAGAAAAGGCGACCTGTTTCTCATTGCTAATATACCGGATCGCTCTTTCAAGTGGCTTATTTTAAGAAATATCAACTACAAATACAAAATACAAATACAAACTGAAACTCAACTCTTTTATGATTTCATGTGGAAACACTACCCACTTCCTGAGTCTTTTCCTATATAGGCGTTTCTAGAACCGCATATACAATGCAGTAATGAAAAAATTAAAACATTCGTGTATATTAATTCACAGGAAAGCTTTTGGCAAAATGTTTTAGATGGTTCACAAATTAAGACATAAAATTGACAAGAACACTAGTTCTCATTCAACAATTTTGCATCTGCGTTCACGTACGCACGATTGTCGAGTCGTATGCCCTTCGAAGTTTTGACATATGTACGTTATCGTTTGTCACCATGTAAGAATACAAGCAGAGCAATTAATTTTTCTACCTAAAGCCGTCAAGCCGTATTTGTTCCTGCTATGTGGGCTTTTGTCCTCGGACATCATCCTCCGTGTCACCAATACTATTTCAGGCGTTCTTCACCCACCGACAGTGGGCACAATCTAGCGTGCGCCACTCTTCAAGTCTATGTTTTATAGGAGTGCAAGTAAAACAATTCACCAGAGCAAAAAGTTCAATAGTTTCAAGCTAAGTTCCCGTAAACAAATATGGTCATCTTGATAATATGATACTGAACCAATAATGTGGCTACTTTCGTCTTTCATCACACCTGCTGTAGGTACATAATCAATTCCAAAAACGCCAAGATGATAAATTATGCTGTTTTGAATCCAAAATAGGTTGTTCTTGTCATTACAGTTTCGCTGACCATTTTGGTGTTCTTTTCAGGAGCTCGTTCCTGTTTCAATGAAGTTCGTCAACAATAGCTCAGAACTCTCTTTCAGTGCTTACGGTACTGAGAGCCATAAGGACCAAAATGGAACGTGTTTGCTGTCGTCTGATTTTAAGGCTATGATGATAATTTACGCCTCAATATACAGTGTCGTTTTGATTGCCTCACTCGCAGGGAATTCCCTGCTTATTTTCGCCTCTCTAAAATCAAAACTGGTGATGAACCTTTTGATAGCCAACATAGCTGCTTCAGATCTCTCGGTCTCCATTGTTCACTTTCCTCGTGAGATTGTGGCTCAAATCAAAGGTTCGACGGCTTTTCTAGTCCATGGATGGATTGGAACGCTCTTCTGTAAGATCTGTGCCTTTGTCACGGATGTTTCCATTGCTGTGTCTACATTGACCTTGATTTTGGTCGCCGCTGATAGGTTGGTGGCAGTTGTATTTCCAAGCCATTATCGTCGAATCACGGTCAAAAAGCGACGGTTTCTCATTTTTTGCACTTGGATTTTATCGATGGCAATTCATTCTCCATATTTCTACACTTTCCGCTTGGATACGATAAATGGAGAAACTTTTTGTATCACAAACTGGGAGCCGGCCTTCAATCATGAGTCTACACATACTCGCTACTACACTGCGTTACTGGTTACTGTTCTGATTGTGCCGCTGATAACAGTGGGCATACTTCAGACTATAACGCTGTTGAAACTACGAGACGACAAAATGGGGTCTTTTCGTACTTCCACTGCCAGTCAACGACACAAGAAAAGGAACAGAGTACTGCTGAAGATGTCTGTAGTGATCGGTTTGGCCTTTGCATTATGCTGGCTACCTTTTATTGCCTTTCAATTTCTCGTTCTTTTCTTCTCGAGTTTAATCCCACATTGCAGTCTACGTTTTACAATATTTAGACAGTGTGCTATTCTGCTTTCGTTTTGTCATAGTATAGTGAATCCATGTATTTGCTTCATTTTTATGCGTCGGATTCGTGTTGGGCTAAAATCCATTAGGTTGATGAAACAATCTGTTAACGAAACAGTTTTATGACATTTAAAGAGGAAACTTTTTAGTCAATTTTTTTCCGTATTAATTTTGGTTTTAACAGGTGGAAAATTATGACGAAGACTCTTTGCTCGCACAGCTTAATTAACACTCTTATATCTCCTAGATGAAGATATCAGGTGGAAAAAAGAGAGACAGGAAATTGAAGACATGATTGATCATCGCAGTTATACACAACTTAAGCAGTTAACTGCTTATGTTGTGTATAACTGCGATGATCAATCATGTCTTCATATTTTCTCCGCAGTTCAAATATGTGATCTTTCATATCATCACTTGCAGACAGCAAATTGTTACCCATTTTTGTGTTTTATTTTGCTGCCGCAATGAGGCATCCAGAAGCGAGCGACAGCAGCGAGAGAAGTCCTATAATTATAATTTAAACAAAATACGTAACACTGTAATGTAAATATATGTAGTACCAATGATATGTGTAACAGAAGCTGCCGCCATAGAATGTACAGTAGTCTTGAAAACATCCCCCCTCTTGTACTTCATAGCCTTTTCAGAATCTACTATCTGAAAGGCCTTCATGAAAAGCACGCTTTCTTTTCAGTTCTATGTGAAGATCGAAGTTAATTAACAAAGGAAAGGGGAAAAAATCCTGCCTGGGGTTTTGCTAATATTTCTTTCTAATCTTAGTTTTTTTTTTTCGAGAATTTGAGAAATATATTTATCATAAGCGCTTTGTCTCGTTAATATGCCGTCACATGTTCTTCACGCAATGAATTAAAGGAATTATATAGGAGACACCGTGTAGACAGTTGGGGCTCAGTTTGAAATTATTGGTCAGTTTCGTTATTAGATAAGTTACAACGCAAAAATTTCAAATTTGTTCAGTACAGTATCCCTTTTAAAAGTAGCATTCATTAAAGAGCCTGTTTATATTCAATATTCAAATGTCATGTTTTGACCGCAAGTTATAAATCATGGCAACTAGATCATCCGGTCCAGTTTTTTCACTTTTAGCCAACGAGCCTACATCTTCAAGTTTGGGAAAATGAAACAGTGTTTATTTATACAAATGTACTCGACTTCAGTTTTTGTATTATGTTTTAAGCACTTTTTTATCGACCTCCCTTAATCTCCTCTTTGCATATTCTCTCCACCTGTCGAGAGATCTGGTTGGTGGGGTGTCATTTTCTGAATAGCTTTTGAACCACTAAAGATCTTAGAAATAATTTTCGAGGATAATTATCGTTTTATGCGAACACAGATAGAAATTTTTAATTAACCTAGGTATAGCTTATCTTGATCAAACGCCGGGTCCGGAGTTCCAAGGTGGATTTGCGGATAAGCTCCTCCGAACATAAATACAAGGCGTAATAATCTCAGGGACATAATGATAAGTTATATACGATTGTCAAAATGGTCAATAAAAACCCTTTCCTATTTTAAAAGCTGGGCTTGTACAATGTGCACGAATGAAATAAAGGCTTGTTTTGACTTAAACGCCAGTGGCGTTTAATCTGGAGAACAGGGTATAACGAAATTCTGAGAACTCACTTGTTATGTATTGTCAGCGGTTTAACAAATGCGCGTTAAAGTCAGGCGCCCAGTTCTTGTCAGGGTTTGCTATGTTGAATTGCAGTTGTTGTTGTGTGTGATTTTATCCGGCCAAATCGAACCCTTTTAGAAACCATCGGAGGGTTTCTCAGTATTTAACATCACTGATAGGTTTAACCCTGAGAAATCACAGTTTGTGACAGATGTTCGTGTTGAGTGTCGGAAGATAATTTTGAGACGCAAAATGAAAGAGGGTGATACTTCTTGAAGATATATCATTACAACAAAGCTAGAAAAGTCGCGCTATCAAACTCGGTATGCGTAAGCGTGCATAATAATCTGCAAGAATGCACGTTCATGACGTGAGAAAAGTGAACTTCGCTTCGCCATTTCCATTGTCAAAATTTTAAATCAATTGATTCGTACTTTTAGCTGTGTCTCCTTGAGGAGGGTGGCAATCGCGCATCACGCTGAATTTTTCTATTAAATCACGCATCATTGAATTTGTTTTTTAGCCCATCACGCGTCACGTAAAACTGACGGCGACATGCAGTTCGAAATCCAGTTGAAGAAAATTTTTTCTTTGTTTATTTTTTTCCTCCCGATGGTTTGCGTTTATATAGGCATTGGAAAAAAAAGTCCAAGGCATAAAAGTAATGTATTTATACAACAGAATGAGACGGAACGGAAGTTTGACATTTCGCAGAAGGAAAAGACTTCTTGAGCGTGAAACCCTCGTGCAAGATGGTATATCAATAAAAGGAATTATAGTAGGCAATACCAGGTACTCATATGGGAACACTGAAATATATTGTTGTTGTTGTTGAATTATACACCCACCTTGTTGTATATCAACGAGTCTTTAATTTAGGAGTTCTAGTCCGACTTGTTCGACGCAAAACCACAGCCAGGCGCTCGACAAAAATGACACTGAAGATCTTAGGTCTCCGAATCCTGGCCTTGTGTAAGTTTTAACTACATAATTTTATTGTCTATATCAAAACTTATGCCTATTGTGTGACGATTTTTTGGACCTACCACGAAGTTCAAAGACATCAAAGGTCAAGGAAAGGACGGAAAGACCGCAAAACGGTTTCATGGCCGTCACGGTTTATGCATCTTTATAAGAGTTTATTTACTTTGAATGAATGTTATCCTTAAAGGTCAAAGAACGTTCACTCACGGAAATCTACTCAGTAAATCACGCGTCACGCGCGTGTAAAATAGCAAATCACCCATCACGCTGTGCGTCACGCGGCCAATTTGGGCTCTATCACACATCACGCGGCTAATGTTGGGGTCATTACGCGTCAAGCGAAAATCCTTTGCCACCCTCCTCGAGTTGTGATGCACTTTGGACTTAGAGAGTTACTCTCGGCTGCACCGCAATCAATTCTTAGGCTTTTTTTTTTTCGTGCTTTCCAAACTTCCCACGTGCGCGGCCATGAGTTAAAACTTCGGCTAATTTTTTTTTACCTATCAGTAAATTTAAAGATCTCAGACATTCCAGCTATCTCGATTAAAAAACTCGTCAGATCTCAGCTGACAGTTACAGGTTCAAACCCTATTGAGACGTTCTAGCCACGTTCTAGCCATGATTCAACAAATAAGGTTTGCCTTTACTTTACCTTCTACTCGTTTATTACATGTAAAAACTGAAGTAGCCTTAAGTTGGAGGCGATTACGATATTATGCTGCATCAAATGTAAACTGAGTGGAATAGTGGTTGAAACGAGCTTTGCAACATTTATCTGCAATTTATCTGTACCATTAAAGACAGGAATAAGATATGAAAGCATACATGTGGGTTTTAAAAAGGTGTCGAATAAGTTTTGTTCTCCAAGACATTTATCGATCTGACGAGTTTCTACAATTCCAGCTACATAGTGGTAAATTGCTTTTAGAGCTGGTGTCGATTGAAAGTCCCAGGCCCTAATAGTATAAATAGTGTGATTCCTTTTACGCTGCTGAGTCATCAGTTTTAAAAGTAGATTAGAAAAGAAGAAACCGACACAACGTAGGATGATCTTTTTTGAAAGTGTACTATATTTCGGCTGGCCAAACCAGTCTTCTTCAGGTACAATGGGAAGTCCTGTTTGCCGCAAGGGAAGGTGTGGAGACAGAAGAATCTGCCCTGTTTGCCGCAAAGGAAGGCGTGGAGACATTAGAATGATGGTTGTCAATCCTCAGTAGTAACGTCATTGTTTGCGAGGATTGAGAATAGGACCGTATTAACTCAGTCTGACATGTACCGCGGCTGCTCAAATTGGATTGTACCCTTAACTTTCTGCTTGTTATCACAGGCTGTTGATGTTTTCTTTTACACATATTTCTCAATTCGCGAGAAAAACTCCGCACGAATATGAAGCAAATGCATGGATTAACTGCACAGTAGGAGCTCGCCAATACGCGAGAAATGTAATCCAATACCATGAAACTTCTATAACATTTAGGAACAACCTCCGGAGAAAAGAGTTTGATAAACGAAATCACGATAAAGAGGGCCCAGCACATTAAAAACGCTGTTAAAGTAGCTACAGCCATCCTTTTAAAATTTCTATTGCGTTCCTTCCATTGTCTCGCTCCCTTGTCACTTCTATAAGTCTCCATTTTGTCGCTTCGAAGATTGATTAGGATTGCAATGTACAAGACTAATATTACAAGCAATGGTATAAGCAACACTGTAAGGTATAGAAATGTGATGTAGCGAAGTTGTGCTGACTTGTGATCGAAAGCCGGATCCCAGCGAGATTGACATTCTTGATAGTCAGGATTCTTAGGATCAGCGGCTACCAGTCGAAACGTGTAAAAATATGGCGAGTGAAATGCTACAGCCATGATCCAAGCAGAGGCGACCAGAACACGACGTATTTTCACGGTGAGTTTCTTATACAATATTGGAAACACAATCGCTAGGAATCTCTCAACGGCAATCAATACTAAACTCTGAGTCGAAACCGACAATGATATGTCGGCAAGGAAAGTGCACATCTTACAGAGAAACGTGCCTCCATTTCCATGAACTAGGAAAGCGTTAGAACCGATGATTTCTCTGGTAATTAGACGAGGGATTAGAAACACTGCCACCAGAAGGTCGGAAGCGGCCATGTTAGCAATAAGAAGCAGGATCGATTCTCTTATTCTCATGAAGACAGTAATAAGGAGAATGTTACCCACCAAAGATGCCAACAGAGTAAAGGCATGTATTGTTATGGTAACTGGTCTTGGTCCCTCGTTTATCGTACAATGTTCTGTTGAGTAGCTGCTGTTAATGGTCAGAACAAACTCGCCTGATATGTCTGAAGAAAAGTTCATGGCTGAACTACTGATCTGAACGTTACAGCCCAAATGTTGTGAAGCCACTGTGACGGTTCCACTCAAACTTAAGTAGTCTCTTTCGCTTAGGTCTGGCATCATTGGCCATGAGCAAACGTCATTTCTGGTTGGAGCACGTGGCGCCCGAAGCAAAATATATATCGTAAAAGCGATACGTGATATGACTTGTCTTTTGTTTATCAGTTGCAGAATGAGTTATTTATAACCATATAGCCGTCTTGACCCTTACTCGGAAATTTTAATAATCTCAATGGCTTCAAGTGACGTTTCTTTGATAACAAAGCCGCTCATCCTTGAAGGTGAGGTAGATAATATCACGTTTGAATAAGTACTTTCACGTGGTGAGGTTGCGTTGTTTGATTTAATCAAAACCCTAAGGCTTTTCAAAGGACGGTTGTTTTCAAACCAAATTTATGGCCACTAATGCAGTAAGGTACATGACTACCTTATGTGTGGCATTGTTTAACTTTCACCAGTTTACGTTCCAAAGAGTAAATAGATGAAATGTAAACTACGTTGCTATATTGGGAACTGGGAAAAACCCTCAACTATCTTTAGACCTTGACCAGCCATTCGTAAACCCGCAAGCTTTGTGCGTGAAAGTTGATAAGTGGACTCCGTTTTACCAATCTACGAAAAAAATGGGATTTAAACAGGATATCAGCTTGTGCGTTATGTACGGAAAAGTCGAGAACTGGATACTGTCTTACCAATATTGCTTGTATTTTAAATGCACGATTACAAGAAGAATAATGACAAAGGCTAAAAATGTCTTAAAAATGGCTATAAAGTTAAAAAACCGAAACTTTTCCGACAAAATTTCTTCTTCAGGATGAAAAAGCCGTCCGCTACTCATATAATTTTTACGCTTTAGATAATTCCCGATAGGAAGAGTTTCGCCATGTTTGAGCTGGGTTGCCATTGTTGGATCATTAAGCCTTCTATAGGATTCTTCGCTCGCGAAAAGATTGGGCCATGCAGAGTATGCGCCAGCTAAACGAATGCAAATAGTTCTCGCGTAGGTGATGGGCAGGAGTCATTGCATGTATTTGAAACTGTTCCTCAATTCGCACGTGCACATTCCTCGTGTTCTCACCGATATAGACCACATGTGAAAGTTTTGCTAAGTCGTTCGTTTCTGTTGCAGTGAGGAAGTTTGGTGACAATCTTGTTACGCTCTTCGAAAAGGAAACTAGGAATCAAATTATCGTTCTTAGGTGAAGGTTTCAGAAAACTACTGTTCCCTGTTTGGGAATGAAAACGATCTGGGTATTCCGCATTTAGAAAGATTGTTTCAATTGTTTTGACATCGTTGTCATAATAAATCACAATTGCCTTTTGGCAAACTAGACAAATCAAAAGCCTTTTCAACCATAAAGACAAAAACACTCATGAACCACGTGTGGTCTGTAAAGGATGCTGCTCTTTCGTTGACAGCTAATCGGTACGACCATGCATTAGGAATATGCAGGTGCGAATTGTGGAACATTCAAACACATGTAATGACTCTGAACCTGCCTGTCACGTCTCCTCGTGTTCTCACCGATGTAGCTATCACCACCACCACAACAAAAAACAAAACAAAACAAAATTCCCCTAAAGACCACATGCGAAGTTTTGCCAAGTCGTTCGTTTCTATTGCAGTAAGGAAGTTTGGTCAAAAATCTCGTTGCGGTTTTCGAACGGGAAACTAGGAATCAAATTATCGTCTTCAGTTGAAGGTTTCGGAAAACTACGGTTCACTTTTTTGGGAATTAAAACGATCTTGGTATTCCGCACTTAGAGAGATTGTTTCAATTGTTTTGACATCGTTATCCAAATCAATTGCAATTGCCCTTCGACAAACTAGACAAACCAAAAGCCTTTTCAACCTTAAAGACAAAAACACTCATAATCCACGGATGGTCTATAGAACCTTTTCATAAATGACTACCAACTTAAAATTATTTTGTATGTATTTAAATTAGCCTCACTAAACTCGTTTGGGAGTAAAAATTCTTTTGAATTATCAACTCAAGAACGAGGTTAGTCAGGCTAGTTTTAATATCTACCAAAGAACTTATAATTGGCAGCCATTTATGAAAAGGGTCTATAAATGATACTGTTCTTGCGATGACAGGTAATCGGTGAGACCATGCATGAGGAACTTCTGCAGGTGGGAATTGTGGACCATTAAAACACATGCAATGACTCTGAACTTGAACGTCACCTAGCACATACTCTGCATTGCCCAATCTTTTCACAAGCAAAGAATCCCAGAAGGCCTACTGATCCAACAATGGCAACCCAGTTTAAAAAAACAAATTCACTGTTACATGGCGAAACTGTTCTCATCGGGTATTACCTAACGGATATAATTTATGCGAGTAGCGGACGGCTTTTTTACCTTGAAGATGACATTATGTCGAAAACGTTTAGTTTTTTACTTTTTTGTTAGCCATTTTTGAAACATTTTCAGCCCTGTTAAATATGTTGTCATTATATCAGGCGAACTTTTTTATGGACAATAATAATAATTTCTGGTTTTCAGTGTCACGCAATTCAAAATAGATCAAAATAAAAATCAAAACCGGTCAATAGATAAAGTCCAGAATCTGGGAAAGGAAAGAAGGTAAATATGCAAAGACTCTCGCCAAAATTCTGGTCACAGCAATTTTTCTTATGCG